GTTTGTAGAAGATCCTTGAAGTATATTTCTAGGATATCTGTCTTCCAGAAAGGATATCACATTTGTATTCAGTTTTCTTGTGATATTGATACAGATTTCTACATGCCAAAACTTGTTAATGTACTGTTGCTCGTTTTATATTCCAGTGGTCTGAGTGTATATTCATTTTAGAGCCAAAATTCATTAGTAGATTTGGTGTGTGCAAGTGCTGAGTGCAGTGCTAATCAGCTTGGAGTCAGAATAAGTATAGAATTTTATACTTTACAGTCTTTGTTAATTACTGATGTAACACCTTTTGGCAGAGCAGTTATTAATCTTTTATTTTTGGGATTTGTGAATAATGAAAAAGTGCACAAACTGTCTCTCTCTATAAAACTAGTATAAGGACCTAACATCTAACTTCTTTTACCAAATAAAATCTGTGGGTAATTCTGTGATTTTCTGAGCGGTAATTATTGACAAATAGTGATAAATATTTAAGCCATGTTTCTTAATAATGTATCTTTTCAATTTAAAATCCTTTGGAGATTAAGTAGTAAAGATGAGGTAAATATTTGTATTTTGTGAAGTCATTACCATCTCAGAAAATATCAAGAATCATTTAATCTATTGAATATCCAACCAATGTTTCATTATAGTCCAATGTGTCTGCCTGTGTTACAGTACTAAGCTTACTTCAGCTCTGTGACAGAACGTAGCAGAGACAAAATAAGAGACAACCAATTTTTGAGCCTTTTTTTTAAAATTCACACTACAAAATTTGCTGGAAGTTCATCAGCTTCATATTACTTTCCGTGCACTCGCTCTCTGGGTGTTGATTATTGAGACCTTCTTTCAAATTAGGTGTCAGGATTACTGGACTCACCTGTTGGTAGCAACAGAAAGTGTTGCCTACAATTACAATTTTACCTGGCCTTGGGGAAAGTATCTGAATTCACCTCTAACTTTTGTCCTGTCATATGTAATGTATGCAGCTCACCGTTTAAACTGGGTTTTGTCTCAGCGCTTACAGTTGGTTTTAAGTAGGTTTTTTTAGTAAGGAACCCTATTCTAGGACTCAGTGTATTAACTTTTAATTAAAATGTTTTAAAATAAAATCAGTGGTGGGATTAGATTACCAGAATGTAAAGGTACAGAAGCCATATACAGCCCCTACCAAAATACATGCCTAATGTCTCTTTGAAAAGAGGTGTAGTCTTGGAATACCTTATTTTTACTTCAATGTATGAATCCGTATTAAAATTATGTTAAAAGTATTGATCAGAATACAAATGCAAATATATGAAGCCCTTGGGATTCAAGACCTTCAGGTATCTATACAGGTGCTAGTTGGATCTTATTGTAGGTCTTTAACGTGTCTCTTATTTTCCTTATAAATTTTGAGGTTGTTGTTTGTACATGTACTGTGTAGAAAAGTTGAAGCCATTCTAAGAAAATTTTCTATTCTTTGACTGTACTTAATGCTTCACAATTGACTGAGAATTTCAATATTTTTATTACATAAGTTTTGTGAGCTTTTTAATTTCTTTAGAAACTGACAAAATAAAAAATGGGAGGACATATCTCTGGGTGTTAGAACAATTTTGACAGGAAATCAGATGAGAAGTAGAAATTAGAGCAGAGTAGAAGCGACACTTTTTTTTTTTCTTAATAAGGAATGCAGATGAACCAAGATTGATTTGATTAATAGTAGTAATGATAAAGTTGTGGTACATTAAGAACTCAATCCAGTAGAAACACACCGTATTAATTTCAGTATTTAAGTTTAAGCATACGGGCTGTGCATATATTTGTGTTGGTAGAATACCATGCTGTATACTCAGACACAAGAAGATGATACATTTTGAACTGCTTTATTTGTAAATAAGGATTTTTAAGGACACACAAATAATTACTCAAAGCTATGTAGATTATGCAAATAAATTAGCAGGACAAAGCAATCTTTTTCCATAATTGCTCTTCCCAAAAGCTGGTTAAACACATATGTACAGTTCCCATTTACATGTCCAACTAGCTACATGGATTTTCTTGAGAGGTTGTTTTGCAAGTACACTTTGGTTGAGCCCAAATATTGCAAATTTGTGCTTAAAAGATAATGTTTGTCTAAAGCAGTGAGCACAAAGTAAGATATAGAATGGATGCCCAGCCCAGCCTGCACAACAGGATTGCTACCATGTTGTTAGAATAATTACATTTTGGCTGAACTAACTAATTTAGAAAAACTGCAGTACATCTAGCAAGACTGAAAACTTTCCAGAACTGGGTTGGGGTTTTTTTTATTTTTTTCATGTAATTTAAAACAATACCTCTTGTAGCTTTCCCTGAATCTCCCCATTCCTGGCTTCCCTCCTAACCATGTCCTGGCTCACCTCCAGAGCTGCCAAGTTTATGCCAGAAGCAGGAGGTAGATTTGTATGGGGCTGGAGGAAGATCTGGAGCTCTGTTAAATTTTCAAGCCCAGATGGGGCAGCATGATTTGTGTGTTTATGTCAGTATGCCATACATCACAACTATTTGTGTGCTGACGTCAGCTTTGATTGGACATTAGTGTGCTGAACACTGCAAACTAGAAAATACAGGATAGATACAGATCTATGGCAACAATGCCACATAAGCAAATGTCTGTTTGGTGTGGCGATTCACTGTGCAAAATAATTCCTAAGATACACTGCATTAAGCCAGTAAAATATTTTGACATACTTTAAAAACAAAAACAAAAGCAACATGAGCAAACAGTCTACACTTTAAGAAAACAAACCTGTTCAGAAGAGTTGAAACCAACATACTGAAGTATGTATCATTAGGCAAATACTGAATTGCTATCCATCACTTTAATCTTTCCAGAATTAAGACCAAATAGGAAAGATGCTTTTCTTGTGATTTGCAGGACTCTTAATGACGAGGATATCTTGCTGATGGTAGAACATCTTTCTAGCCACTGTTTTTGTAACTCATTGTTACAAAAAAAAACCAAGGAAAAATGGACAGCAAACGTTTTTTTCCAATGATAGAATATTTTTTTCTATGCTAAGAGTTCAGGTTAGCTTCCAGAAATCATCACTGTTTATTTATTTGTATAACAGTCTTATATTTCTTGCTTATACAAATAACATCCAGCAGCCTGCTGAAGAACTGGGAAAATACGGTAAGTTCTGGTCTGTGGATTTATGGAAGTCACTGGCTACTTCAGATCTATATTTACACCATCTTCATGCGATTGACCCTGTAGAATAATGTGACCAAAAGTTTTCATTGAAATATGGTATGTTGTCTCTCTTTTCCTAGTAGAGGAAATAATTTGCAAGTCAGCTTTAACATTTCGGGGGTTGGATAGAATAAGGAAGTTTAGGGATTGATGTGTAGGCAGTGTTCTTTTACCTCAGATGGCTGATGTTGTTCCTCAGAAAGGAAATTTGTAGTATAACACTATTTTGTCATTATCCATCATTAGACTTTGTTGGTAAAATCGAAGTTCCCTGGGGATAGATCGTTTTGGCCTGTGCACAAGTAGCAGCTTTGAAAAGAGACCAGTCCCCAGGATTTGATGCCATCTGGCCCATAAGGTGGGAAGGGAGGGGGGTGTAAAGGTACCATGGGATCTCAGTGGATTTAGGCCTTGTAACCTGAGCAGATTGGGCTGTGCAGGACAGGCCCCAAGTTACTTTAGGTAGCAGTCAAAAAACAGAGTTCAGATTATTCTTTGATGAGAGTAGGAAATGTTCACCTTTCACAACTGCCTTGTAGGCTTCCCTGTGGCTAGGAAATGTGCTGTTATTAAAAATGTGAGATCATGAAAGCAATTGGTGTATTGTTCACCATTTTAATAAATCTGTACGTCAGTGTAATGTATAAACTTTACCAACATGTCTAGGGATGTTTCCCTTCTCTTTTCTCCTAATTACTTTGTAAATTGTTATTATCCAATAGTTTACCAATATTTAAATTGACATTTCATAATAAGTGCTGGTCATAGAGTTAATGAAAGAGATGCAGAATGTACAAAATGCTTTAAAATTAATAAAAGATACAAAACCATGACTTGGAGCTACAGAGATAATTCTTTATACTTGGAATGGATATTTTGAGACCATTAGTCTGGATACTCTTGGAGGTATCATGAGTATAGCACCTACAGCCATCAAGAGCAATAGTATGCCACCTGTCCGGACAACTTTAAGATAACCACTTTTTATCTTAAAGAAATATTTTGCTTTTTAGCACAGATTTGTGGTTGGTTGGGGTTTTTTTCAGCTCGTTAAATACTAACATCATCAAAGTATTTAAGAACATCTTATCGTGAGTTACCTCTGAAGATCTCTGTTCTGACCTTTGAATGTTGCTTTCTGCTATATAAAATTAAGTGAAGAAAACTATGCAGAAAACAGCTCATTTAAGGCACCTGACAGTATGTTGTTGCACAAGACATAAAGGCAACACTTATAATTCACAAACCTATTAAGAAATGGTAATGCAACTTGAAGCTTTAGATTCCTGTGGTTTATAGAGAAGAAATTTTATAAAGAAAAATACTGGAGAAAATGCTTTGGTTTTCCATGTTCTGTGATGACCAAACTGAATAATTGTATGGGTTGTGCTTCCTCAGAATATTAGAGGTGATATGCCTAAGTTTATTAAAAAGCAAGGTTTTCAGAACACAAAAGTTGGGCATCTGACTCATAGTAGTAGGCAGTGAGAGGTGCTTAACTGCCACATAACTTGCAAATATCTCTGGTGTGATCAAATGCTTATGAATATTTGTGAAAATATTAATTTAATGCTGAGTTACCCCTCTTATGGTTTCTGTTTGTCAAAGGTATGTTTTCTTTAGACAGAAATTTCAAGCCCTTTTTTTATTTAAAGAAAAAAGCCCTCAAATGTAATTTCTAAGTATTGATGATTTTTTTCTACAGTTTGTCATTGAGAAGACCAAGCCTTACTCTATAGGCATTAATTACCTTTTTCATCACATAGGATGTGTATTTTGTTTCCATGTCTTACAGAATAAAGCAATTATGGAACGTGTAACAAACTTGTCAGATATAGTAGTTGGTCTTGAATCATTTATTGGCTCTGAGAGAGAAACCAATCCATTATACAAGGATTACCACGGTAAGTTCCATCTTTAGCAATGCAAAAAGTCTGCCCTGAGTGTTTCTAGGGCACTTAGTGGCTTACCCTCCAATTGGGTATCCGCTATAAAGTAGCATTTGATTTCATTTTAGAATATACCTCTTAAATGTTTCTCCTTGCTAACCAGTCTTGAGTTAGGAAAATTTTCAGTAAAGTGCATTAAGGCTGCAAAGGAAACATGGCAACTCCTTGCATGTTGTCAAGCCGTATTACGGAGTCATGGCTCAATCAGATGTACATCTCAACAGGCAGGCTTTGGGGAATTCACATGCAGAGGAGGCTTGGCAATCATCTGACCAGCGAGCTGAACTTCTCATGAAATCAATACTTTTGATCTGCCAAGTTTTAAATAGAGAACACGGGAAAACATACATTACATTAAGGTGAATAAACTGCTAAATGATATGCTATATAAACTTTATCTAAAAAGCAATGTTTTATTTTTCAGCTGTAAGTTACGGCAGTTACGCATTTAAAGAAATGCATGTGGATATGTGTGGCATGTAAAATATGAAACTCATTTTGGTAAAAAGGCACGTAGCCTTTCAAGTGATTTATCTTCAAAATGTGTAATGGTTTTTAATCTTGTGCTTTGTTTCCCAAAGATTTTGTTAGCTGTGCAGTGGAACTCTTTAAATTTTAAAAGCTTAGATTAGAAGTTACGCATAGCCAAAGCAGTGAATGACAAACAGTTTTAGCTAATCGGGAGCGGTGCTCGGAGTGTGCATAAATTACAGCTATTATTATTGTGATACTACTGTAGTTCCATGGAAACCTTTAGTTGGAAGTAAACTGCTTATCTGAAACCTGCTGTAAACATAGGAGGATGTGGCAGTGTTTTCCATAGCAGAATATGTAGAAAAAGAAGCAAAGATGGTGTTGAGACACCACTGTGTGTATGCAGGCTGTAATTAATAAATCAGAGAAAAATCTTTTTGACTAAGAAACTAGTGCGTGTTTCATTATCTGAAAAAAGGTTAATTAAAAAGAAACCATGAACAAAAGGTAGAACAATTTGCCTAATTATTTTTCCAATAGTATAATCGTAATGCGGCATTTGTTTATGCTAACATAATTCTGTCATTTTGATACTCCTTTGCCCAGTACTCAACAGATCCTTTAAGACAATGTGTGGTTTAGCAGTGATTTCCTGTAAAAATGGGTACTAAATCATTTTTGGTACTACTTAATAAAAATTATATGCCAAAACATAGCTTTTGAGGTTAAGACAACCTTAATTTAACAGTCTAAAGTAGGTATTTTCAATGGTTTTAACTTTGTGGATTCTTTTTCCTTAAGAATGTATTTTAAGGTGGTTTATTTACTGCAGATGATGGAAGATCTTGACATTGCTGAGGAGGAGTTTGATTAAATTATTGCATTATGTATTGAGCCCTGCATTAATAATTTTATTAAGCCGCCTGCAAAGTTAGGTGGCTGAAAAGCGAATAAAATAATAAAAGAATTATATAGATGATCCTTAAATAAATTTTTTAGAATACTGTATAAAGGCAACCCTGTTATACCTGCTGTTCCTATGTATAATAATTACAAACAAATAATTCTTCTGTGTCAGCAGAGTGTAGGCAGGGATGGAACGTTTCAAAATGTAAGAATATTTTTCTAATATTATTGAGGATTTTTGTAATTAGTGCCCATGAAAACTATGCTTTTAAAAATACTTCAATTTTAGGAAGCTTTATTCTTCCTTTTAAAAGAATAAAGAAAACCCTGAAAAAATACTTGCCTAATTTTAAATTAGGGGTTTAGTGTTTGGGGGTTTCTCTCTCACAGCGGCCGGTTTTTACGGGGGTGTCTTTTCTAAATGTTCAGTATTTCCATTTAGGCGCTGGCTTTATGAGTAGCAAATATAGGCCAGTAATTGAGAAGCCCTGTAGAATTTTCCTGGTTTTCAGATGTAGAAAATCACCCTTAGGTTGTTCAGAAACTATATTAGGCTGCACAAAAACCATCCAGCGTCCTTGTCAGAAAAAATCAGCTTGAGCCGCAGCTGACAGAATGCAGAGCTTGCAGTGCACCTAGTACTGTTAAAAACATCTGAACAGCTGTATAAGCCTCTTACATGAAGAAAATTGCTTTCTCCGGGATGGCATAAGGGTTAAAATTTATCAAAAAGCGTGATCTAAATCAGTATTTTGCAGGAACTTTTTTAAAGTCATTTTCAGGGTGCAGGACGAGGTACTTCTCATTAGGGCTTCAGTGGTTATCAGTAACCCGTAAGCCTTGTTTTGCTGGCTGCTTACTGGTGCATTTAATAAAATAAAGATCACTCAGTGGTGCCGTGGGCAGCATGCAAGGTGATAGCCATATTTGCTTACTGTAAATACAAGAGAAAATCACACACAAACCGGCTGTAGTTTTGACAGTATTAAGATCCCTCTTTACATCTGTACTTCTGTACCAAAGTGCAATTAGTTTTCCTCGCACAAGGATTTCTGTTTATCTTATTCTGCTTGATTACTTGAGTATAATCACACCGTTTGCTTCATTGCTCCTGGTAGTAAGCTCCAGTTTAAAAAGGGGAGGATGAGTGTGTGTAAATATACAGAATTCTGCTGTAAGACTCTAATTTATGCATCCGGATGACAGCGTTTTCTTAATTTTTTTCCCTCCTTTACTCTTTCTTTCCACAAGGTTTGGTTCATGTACGTCAGATTCCTCGGCTTAATAGCTTGATCTGTGATGTATCAGACACGAAGGACCTTGCTTTTAGATTAAAAAGGAAGCTGTTCACCATTGAGGTAAGAGAAACAGTTTTGTTTCACTATTTAGAACCCAAAAGGTGGAGCTAATCCCATCTCTTATGTTTCGTTTTGTGAAATACATGAAATATGCATCAGATGTTGTAAATTCATTTCATTCTAATTTTGCTGTTCAGAGCGGTTTTATAAAATATTGTAATACGCCTTCTAATTAAAAATGTCTCATTTGCTGCACTAAATCGGTCCGTTATAAATAGTTTATTTTGGTTTAAAATGTACATAGAAAGTAGGCCACAACCTTCAATAACAAAGCATGACATGTTTCTAAGGATGTCAGGAGCATATTTAATTAAATGTTAATGACTTGCTCTTACTTGTGTTAGTGGGTGGGAAAGTAGCTACATGTTATTACCCCAGTAGAGGGATTTTAATGTATAATGCTGCCTAAAATTGTGTGTGGTATGAGGGATAAGTGTCCTTATCAGTATTCAGAAACCATTTTCTTTGCATTACTGAAATCACCTTTCGCTCTTTTATGTCATTTTAAACACAGTATCATTTACACTAATGTCCTTAAGTAAATTTCCTACTAAATTTAAACTTTTTTCTGTGACCTTTATGCAGACAGTCCTGATAGAAGGCAGTAATACAAAAGATGTATTTCATTTTAATCTTGCTAAAGAGCAAATGAACATAGCACTATTAAGCAATTAGAGCTGATGTATTTATTAACCAAGTAATGCTTAGAGATGGGAGATGGCTTTCAGGGTGATGTGATAGTCATCGGTACAGTCTGGGCCAATTTTTTTTTAACAAAGACATAAAACAGCCAAGCATCCCTGACAAACCATTTTGTTTAATCTCTTTTCAAATGAAAAGCTCTTAAGCAGGCCACTTGTCTTAACTGCTTGAAACCATAAAAAGAGAGAATTGCCACCAATAAATTAGCATATTTTTTACTCCATCACCAAATGATGGTCAATGTGGCTTGGCACTGCTTTGGTGTTTGGGACTTCACCCTTAAGTGACCACTTTGGCCCTTATTTGACCCTCTGCCCTTTTTAGCTGGCCACTTGATAAGGTAACTTAAGGGTTCTCTCTCTGCACTGCCCCCTCCCCTTCACAATTGCAAGTAGCCCTAACCTATAAATCATTGAAAGGGCCCTATCAAGTGACAAATTAAGGTGCCCTCCTCCTAATTAATGGTCATCAATGTCTTTAATTATCTAATCCTATTGAGAGTAGTTAATAGTTAATCAGGCAGCCAGTTCTTCATGCAGGTCATCTCTGCGTGAGTGCTAGAAGTTTCTCAACTAGAGGTATCCTCTTCAGAAGCCACTTAAAGGCAAATATGTGAAGGAGGGCTTTTTTCCCAAATACCTTCCTTTATAATGTTTCTCACTTTCTGGAGAATGTGGTTAATGAAACCAGGCACTGTGAGGTATTAAACCATTTTAACAACTGCTTTTGAGCAGTACATTAGAAACAAAAACCTTAATAGTCTGTGGTTGGTTTTAAAATACAAATGTTCTTACTGTTTTCAGAAGTGCAGAGAAGCGTGCACCCTCATTTCACAGCATAGTAAATTCACATTTATTATAGCTATGAATTAGAATATTTTCAGGTTTTTTTCCTCACTGTGAATCCTGATTCAGAACATAATTTTTTCCATCAGACGTATTTGGGCTTCTGATTTGGAATGTAATTTGGAAGGGGGGGTGGGAACTTAGTGGGAGGCTCTGTAAAAAGAACTGAATTAGCCATGGAGCAGAAGCAGTGGAAATAGGGGTGTAGTGGAACTCTTGAAACAACCTGTTACCCTAGACACATATGGATGACCCACTTGTGTAATTTCTCCCTTCACTGCTCAGCTGCAGCCCCTTTTGAATAACTTCAGGTTTTGTTAGAGATACGCTTTCTGTAAGCTGAACTGACACAAACTAGTCCTTTCTGAACATGTTAGAACCCTGTCCTACTGTGATCTTCCTGTACACATTTCACTAATCTATAATACATATGCTTTTTTTCCTCATACTGTTAGGACTACAGCTAGGCTGAGTAGAGCAATGAGGTCAGTAAGAAAATGGGAGCAAGGGAAAATTGAATTAAGAAAGGATGTGAATACAGCTTTCAAAAATGGGTTTCTGCAGTTACAATGTGATGAGTCAGCAGTCAGGTTTGGTTCTGGTGGTAAAAACATAAAGCAGCACAGCAGTGTGTTACAAGCAACAGTGTGCTTTATACAGAGTACTGCTAAGTTTATGACTTCTTTAGGATGTAGCTCAAATATGAAATGAAAATGTATTTTGAGTGTGTTACCATTTTTTGAAAGCTTCTGCTTAGTTATGTACACAATTTAGGGTAAAACTATTGACCTCTACTTGAAATGCCACTTTCAAATGAAATTGCATAAAAAAAGTTAGAAATATGTAACGTATGACTTCTGGCAAAATTTCTCCAAAAAGGTTTTTCATCACTAGACCATCCGCTTTTTACAGTTTAAAATAAGGGCATGGGACGTGCATTTTCTCATTGCTGGATTGCTCACCAGTTAAATAACTCTTTATGGTTTGGCCTTCATCAGTAAAAACCTTAAATGTCAAATCAGTTTTATTAGCCTGCAGTTTTGTGGGAGAGACTCCACCTCTTTGTAGTCTGCAGAATCATTTAACTGTTTCAGTCTTCCTTGTATCTTCGTTGTCAAAGTAAGATTGATTGAAATGTATTCTAAAGGATTTTTTTTAAATTCAAGATGAAAATGGTTTTTAATGAATATTGATGAGTATTCATTTTCCATTTGTAAATTATGAGGCAAACCCTTTCCAGGAAAACTTAAATGTTTATGGCAAAAGGTGCAGTGGCTATATCAAGCTTTCCCAAATCTTCACACCTTAGTTACTAGCAATATATTATTATATACAATATTATCACAGATCTATCTTGTGTGCATACCACTTTAAAGGACACAATTTTGAAGTTAGCCTGTCTAATCCTATTTCTTCCCACTTTGGAATCTTAATTAGAAGGAGATAAAAACCATCATTTGACTAAATTATTGTCTTGAATCTGTAGCAAAAGGTATAATCCGCAATTGGGCCAATTAGTGTACCCCATAGTTAGCTATGCTGAGGCAGGAAACTTGATTAGATCTGACACCAGCCTAGTTCCCACTGTTGTTTTGCCAGGTATGATGGTCAGACTTCAAAGGGCTTGAGGCATCAGCAGGGCAAGGTTTGGAGGCCAGCTTAGGTCCGGTCGTTAATCTCTCTGCTAAAACCACAGCAGCCCTCGCACAAAACAAGCTTACACGACACAATCATGCGGTATTAAAGTTTGGGTTGAGTCATGCCAATTTGCCTTTGATTTTCTGATGATTGACTAAAAGATGGCTACATGACTAGACACATACTGAAAGTTTACTGATTAGGTAAGTTCCCCAAATATTTGAAATATTTTTTGATTTCTCAGTTAAATGATATGACAACCCGTTGATCTTAATGAAACTTTCCTGCAGAATTGTTCTTGAAGTGTTTTTTGCTTTGTTTGTAGCTCTGAGTATAACTTTTATCAACATCTGACAAATTTTGTAGGAACAATATGTTCATAGTTTTGTTTGACAGAAATTTATCCTCGTTGTTCCAAAACCTCCTATATCAAAACTAAAGGAATCTGTACCTAAATCTGATCTTTTCACTCCTCAAAATTTCTAAGGAAACATTGTTTATCTTTGTTACGTAGGTACATTTACAGTTACTCGCAAAAAGGGAATTTCCTCTTAATTATTTTCCACCTCACCGTTGAGTAAGGCCCTGTTCCACGGCTGCGATTACATAAGTGTTCCTTTCTTTTGCAGTCTGATTTGTTGAAATATTGCAGTAACAGTGACATGTTTCCATTCTGAGAAGAGCCCAAGGCTGCTTTAGTATTATTCCAAATGATTGAAATTGCCATCTTGCTGACTTTCCCTTGGGCAGCTTAAGGCCTGTTTACTTTTGTATTTGTTTCACATGTTCCCTCTGAGTTTGGCTGGCAGGACATCATTACCTGGTTTGACAAGACAGTTGGAGAAGATCCATATTTGATTAACTCCCATTGTCACTGTCTGGTCAACATAAACCTCTGAAATTAGGTATTTAAACTTTTGATAAATCCAGATAAATGTTTGCAAATAGGAAAGTTTGTGAGTTGGGTTTTTATAATTCCCTAGTTATGCTGATTTTTATGTCTTCAGGTAATAGTCGGTTGTTAATAGCATACAGATTAAGCTTTTTCCTACAAGTTGTATAATAAGTTTGTCTAATAAATCCGGTTGTGCAATTTTTATTTTTCTTTGTTTTGGTCAATACACAAGTAAGAACCAAGTAATACGATTTGCGGTTTGATGGGTGTATTACACCTTTGCAACCAGAATAAAAATTTTTAAAGACAGCTCAGTTGGCAGCCAGGTGTCATTCTACTGTATGAAGAATTGCCGCACAGCGAAAATAAGATTCAAGATTTTAATGTACAATTTCAGAAGATACTTTTGTGAGAGGTGTTTGCTAACAGGAGGAGAATAAAGTCAGAATTAGAGGAGTCCTGTGGCAGTAAGGTTGCTGGTTTCTCAGTGGCAGGCAGATACAACATGGTACTATGGAGCATGTTGTCTGCATTGCATTTTTTCTAGTGGTAGTTGCCAGAGTAAAAGGTTATAATCACAAGAAACAGCAATTAGGTCTATATAGAATTAAAAATAAATGTATGATTCTAAAGGCGTTAAAATAATGTCCTTTCTTCATCCATCAATAAAGGGCTGTAAGAAAATTAATGATTGCCAAAATAAGCAAGATTTCATTATAACTCCAGATATTCCTGTGTATGTTACATGTCCAGCATTGGTATTTGGAAGAAGACTTAAAACCCTTTGAGATGGTGATTTTGGCAATTAAAATCAAGAAATACATCTTAGGTTGTTTCCAAAACAGGTTGGCTAGGCCAGGTCAGAACAGATGACTGCAGTGCTTCAGTGTGGTATTAGTACAGCACAAGTTTGGATCTAA